AAGCGATAGTACCCAGTGTTACCCCCCCCCCCCCCAAAAAGAACACTTCACTACCATTTTATTGTTAAGGGGTGGTTGCAGCCCCCCCGCCCCCTGACCCCATCCTCCCTTCGCACCGTTATCTCCGATTAGAACACGGTCTCCTTCCCCTTGCTGCAACACGGCTGATTAAAGGGCCGGGCGGCGAGGCGCAGGATGTTTCAGGCGGCCGCACAAGGTTTCCGTTCTAAAAGAAGAATTTAACTCTTAGTGCATGGCATTGGGTTTTGTTAAGGGGTGGTTGCAGCCCCCCCGCCCCCTGACCCCATCCTCCCTTCGCACCGTTATCTCCGATTAGAACACGGTCTCCTTCCCCTTGCTGCAACACGGCTGATTAAAGGGCCGGGCGGCGAGGCGCAGGATGTTTCAGGCGGCCGCACAAGGTTTCCGTTCTAAAAGAAGAATTTAACTCTTAGTGCATGGCATTGGGTTTTGTAACACAATGGGGAACTTGTAAATCACGGTATCGTTCTATGATGACTGACACGTTCCACTTTGATCAGAATGTGAAATCTGGAATGAATTACGAGTGAAGCGTTTTGTTGTTTTTGGGGGCTTGCGTGGTGGGTCGGTGCAAGGTTAGCAAGCGGGCCTGACACATGGCCCACATAACACAAGCGCCTCGCACGTCACCGGGCTCCTCGCAAGAAAAAGACCCTTTTGTTTGCCCCTTGCAGAGAAGGCCGCGTGGGCTGGGGGGCGTCGGTCTCTGGGGCGAACCACAGCTTAGCTCCGTCACTCCAGCCGCAATTATCACCCCGGACATCATTCTTGTTCGTTCGGTCGGCTTCACAAACACAGATTCATCAAGTGCGCCGTGGCTTGTCTTTAATTAGGTCAGTTTGCATCGTCGCATTAAATACAAAATCACTTTTTAAAACTTCAGTTGCTCTCCCGCAGAGGCCCCAGCTTGGCTCCGATAGATTTGTATTTTTAACTACCGGTAGATAAAGAAAAAAGGGGGAGGAAAACACGCACAAGTGCACATTTGAAACTTTTTATTCATATAGAAATACGCTCGTGTTTTTACATCACCTTGTCGTCACACATCGTAAAATATTAATGCGATTAGCGTCAGAACGGATCTTGCATCGATCTTGGAGAGAAGCCACGTTTCCCTTTTGTGGGTTGAGTCATTTCCCGTGTGTGCATTTCTGTGCTTTGGGTCGTCCAACTTGCCCACTTCTGGGAATCTGTACAAACCTGCTGCAAATTCTCTCCAAACGCTAACGTACCAGTGACGGGTTAGCGGCAAAAATGTTAAGACGAATAATTTTCACAGAGTTGACGCTTCCTGATTGCCTTGTCTCCTGAGACACATTTGGAACCCCCTGCATACTGGGGGCAGGGGGGGCAGTTTAAGACTACTGCCTCCAAAAATGAGTGCATAACTTCCTTTGTAAGACTTTCGAGTCAGTGTCAATTCTTCTCGATCTGCTCGATGTCCAGCTCTCCTCCGAGCAGATGGGCGTCCTTCCCGGTGCTACAAAGGCCCGTCCACGGGGGCAGCTTATCTTTACGGTACGTGGAGATCCGCTCCACCTCCTGGATGTTGAGACCAGGCGGCTCGTGCTCCGTCGTAGGCGGAACGTCGTCCGAAGCGTTGGTGGCGGAGGAATCCTCGCTGTGTCTAGAATGGCCTGAGATTCCATGGCAGCTGAGGCTGTGGAAGTTTGGAAGTTTCTGCAAAGATGGATGGAAAACAGGAACCGCCTTTGTGAAATGATTCAGCACAGACCCCTTGCACATGACAGCGAATAGCCTAATGAATGAATTTAACGTTCGTGGTGCACTTCCGTGGGAATGAGTGCGACTTTGTAGATGTTCGGCACAATCAAGGAGTAATTATTCGTGTTATTAAGTTGATGCATAGATGAAGCATGCTGATTGTCCAGCGCTCTTTTCTAGCGGGCTTCGCACAATGACGGCATACATGCAGGAGAACCTTCAAAGCACCTCGGGTAGAACGGATGCCAGGATCCTGACAGCTGAACACTTGGAGCGAGAAGCTTTGCCCGCACTGGGATGATCCAATCTTTACGCTTTAATGCGGAGAAGACGGAACAGCTGCCCCGCGCCTGAGCGCGACGGACAAAAGGAGCCCAGAAAGCCCCTCGATGGCTTACGTAAGCAGCGAACAGGCGTGCTGGAGACTGAGTGTGAGCCCCCCCC